AAAGGCCTTCAATGATTGGCTGATGGACTTACGATCTCTTAACTTTTTTTGAAAGTATAGGCCCAGGAAACTATTGATTAGTCAAATTTGTATTCATCGCCTTGTACTGTGAAAATATCTCAGAGGTCAATGGGAACACAGCTTCAAGTGTCAAATGTTTATACGATAAAATCCTCCTTTTTTTATAAGATTATATTCAAGAAGATAATATCCTAGTGGATACTTCTATACATTTAACTTTGGTTCACATACGTCCTGGTTTTCACGCTATTGATTCCTATATGTAGTGATTCCTATTTGCTAGCAGACGATAAGGTTGATGTTGCTCCTTATTTTGATGATTCTAAATAATTTCAAGTGAATTTATTAATATTAGTATGAACATTTTATCATTAAGTAACTCCAAATCGCCTTGTTCGTACCAACCACTCAGGTCTATTTGCCGATCTAACTGGAGGTTGCATTTTTAATTTGATCTAATTCAATCTAATCTAACTAACTAATCTAATTCAATCTAATCTAATTAACTAATCTAATTCAATCTAATCTAACTAACTAACTAATCTAATTCAATCTAATCTGGTCTAACTAATTCAATTCAATTGGCTGCGACTTCCAATTTCAAGTCAAGTGCTAAAATACTTCGTGCCATATTGAATTTCTAAAGACTCCAATCATTGAAATCAAGCACAATTTCTCAGCCAAAAACAACTGCGATTTATGTGGCGAAATTGTCAGCCAGTTTTGTCAACTCCGCGTCCACCTCCACTGCTCGTGCCCGAAAAAATTCACTAAATTGCGAATTTAATTNCTTGTCTATGATTGGTGGATTTTGCTTGAAAGGCCGTTAATGATTGGCTGATGAACTTACGATCTCTTAACTTTTTTTGAAAGTATAGGCCCTGATTAGCAAGAAGCTGATTGTTACTTTTGCTTTTTCTGTCTGGTTTATGAGCCGTGTAAAAGGTCGAAGTAATATATAAGCCATTACACATGAGTTAAATTAACCTTAAAGCATCCATATAATGGTAATTGTAAAGAGTCTAGTGTACCTTGTGTAACAGATAGAAATACCAATAAAAACGATAGAATGAACCTTGAACGTGATTAGATATAACTAAGATTATTTATAATGTGGTCTGCGCTGGAGTGGCATGGAACCCAGTGCTAAAACTTCTATTATTATGATTTTTTTTAATTACTGATACTGTCCAAACTTGAAATTATTTTTAATTGTAATTTAACAAATTAGTTTTCGGCTCAATTTAATTTATTTCATGTAATTCAAATTAATTGTAAACATGAAATAAATTTTTCAGAATTTTCATGAATTTTTTTATATTGTTTCATAATATCACGTGTAATTTGGTGTAAATTATAAATTTAACTATTAAGTACTTGCCGAGTTGCTATTAATTAACTCGGAAAGTTGCGATATATCGAACATGGAGCGCAAAGAGTATGTAAATATAACGCTTGCCTGCTTATAGAATGAACGAGGGTATATACGACAAAGGTTAGCATGCCTTCATGCAACATGTGATGCAGTCTAGCATGACATATTCGTTATTTTTCCGTATCGTCTCGAAATCTGCATTGTGCAATCCCAGGGTTACGAATCTCAGATGTTGTCATAGGTTGGCTTCTTGCATGTGAAGCAAAGCGGCAGAAAGAACAGACCTCCATTCTGGTGCAGAATTTCAGTTAAACCGGCGTTCGTGATAAATCTTTGTAAAATTATGCCGTTTGAAGAATGGGGATAGACATTTAAATTTTGAAAGGGTAAAGACTATTTTTTTAGAGAGGGGCATTATTTTTTAAGGGGCAACGATTTTTTCTGTCGTTTGATTGTTATGCCTTATAGAGAAGGGAAACAGACTATTTTTAATCAATTGTTCGATCTACCTTCTGAAAATGGTCAACAGACTTCTTCTTTTTCATTAATTAGTGATTAATGATTCTACTCTATGATCTATACAGTAATAATATACAGAATTAATATCCAGTATTAATATACAGAATTAATATACAGTATTAATATACAGTACTTCATACAGTATATGAAATATACAGTATCGATGAATATAGACATTTGAGTATTAGAGAGAATTCAGCGGTCCGTGAACCTAAGCTAAATGAAAACGAACTAGAGGATACAAATTTTTTTTTTTTTGTATTTATTCGAATTTCCTGAGGCGGACGGGTGGGATGCAAGTAATTTAGTGCTGTCATAATTTATTTTTTTCATAGTGCACGGTCAAGTATAATGCTGCTGTCATAATTAATTTTTCATAATACGCGGTAAAGGATAATGCTTGCAGATCCACTAACGGTACTAAAGGATTGAAATTTATAACGGATAAAAAAATGTAACGAAAATAATTATTCCTCGATGCATTAAATAAACAAATTAGTGAATTAGGAACTGAAATGTGGAGGCGGGAGGCTGAATGAAGACTTGTCGAAACCATCGAATGTTTGAGTTGCTAGACAGAATTATATTATAATTATTATAAAATATAAAATAAAATGTAATGAATATTAAGTAAAAATTAAGATTGATAAAAAGTAATTAATTATTATTATTGTCATTTTATATTAAGAACTAATTTAGAATAATAATATATAATAAAAGACAGAGACGCTAGACTAATCAAAACCATCAAATGTTATAGCTATTTATGCATCAATATAAATGCTGAAATTTCCCTTATTGCACGGGAAATACGTTAAAATGAAATTAATTATGAATTCAATATGAAATTAATTATGAATTTATATCACTTGTTTGCTTAAATCGCAAATTAAGTAAGAATTTAAAAGCAAAGGAAAGTCCACAAAAATTCATATCTTTATAGATATGAACGTTTTCTGTAAAGATATGAATTTTTGTGGACTTTTCTTTGCTTTTAAATTCTTAGAAATTAATTATGATATATACGACACTGGTAAATGTGCGTATACATTTTGCCATATTGTACAGCTTACACACAACGCAGCTGTGTGCAGCTCTCACAAATTAGGAGAAAAAAGTGTGTGTGTGTGTCTCTGAATTTGTCCAAATAGCAATGCACTTTTTATTCTTTTGTGGGTCATCCTGACTCAGTTTGGCACCGCAAATGAAGTAATCTGTGCTAAGTAGCAGGGTGGCCCAGTGGTTACAGTTCAGAGTACCAAGATCGGCGCAGAGAGGCGCGGGTTCGATCCCAGCTCTGTGCGCCAGTTTCTGGCCAGAATCGGCGAGGAGGCCGGGCGGTTAAGCACAGCAGAATTGTAGCAGTGAGTTGTGAGTTCAAGCCCGCAACAAGCTGTGAATGTTCTGCAATGTTAAGAATCGGCGACAGGCCTACGGCCTACTAAACGCTGAAACCGCTATATTAAGTCTGCTCTGAGCTATTCCTGTTGGCAAGAAAACTGTTACTAATAGAACAACATGACCGGTTAAATTCTATGTGTGGCACTCAGCTTGCAGGCAACCGCATGCCTCTGTTACCCGCCTGCACAGATGTTGGCTTTCATCGACGCTGGCCAGACAAAGACCGACCTGTCGGTGGTCATTTTTACGACCAAACACTGACATGATCTTGATCGAGTAGATCGGGCTGTAGACAGTGAGAACCTTGCTGCGTGCTAGATACGAGCAAGAACTGAGACAGGATCAGACTGCAGTCTAAAATTCTGTAGCTTCGGCATCAGAATTCGACGCAGGAATTTCGAAGCAGATTTTAGAATAAAAAGTGTATAGAAAATCGATTTACATTTTCACAAATATAATTTAATTTATTTAAAAATATTCATTTGAAAATCAGATTCAAATGAGAATTGGATTTCAAATCTCTAATAGTTGTTTGAAGATGCATAGGTTGAAATATATGTAGTTGAATCTATTTAACTTTCATTGATAATGAACTCCCAGCATCTCCATTGTTCATAAGATTCTCTGTACTTATAATACTTATGTCTATTCTGTTCTATGCTATCTAAATACAAGCAAAAATTATTAATTCATGTCGCGCGTTCCAAAATTTTTGCGATTGTGCAATATTTATGTGATATAAATGCAAAAATTCGTCGCGTTTTCAAATTTAAACAGGAATTGTGAACGCGGTCTTTGGTGCCTAGTTATATTTTTAAATAATAAATAAATAGATTTCTCGCTCGCTTTGAAAAGATTTGCTAAATCCAGACTAGAAAACCCAGGTGAAAACAGCAAAGAACGCGTCCAGGAAACAAGCCCAATGAGGAAAAGCGTAACGAAAGCACTTTATTTGAAACTCAATTTCCAGAGCTAAATAAGGGAGTGGCTCAGAACTGTACTGCATTTGAATGCATAGCTCCAACCCTTCTTTGGAGTGGGACTTATGCCTTGTAAGGTTTACGAGTCCAAGCTTTCGGATCACTTGTTCCGGGCAAACCAAAGCTAATGAAAAGTGATGAGAGAATGGAGATTGCGCTACGTTGCTGCGTTAAGCTTCAGATAGAAATATTCTTAATTCTTATAATTTATTTTAAATGATTCGCATACTCTGTATTAATGCAACGATATTCACGGTTTCATTAAAACCCGGCTACTGATGGACGGTAATAATGGGTTTATTTGTAACCTTGATTACTTGAAGAAGTTTACAATTTGTTAACAGTTTTACCACTCCTTCATCAATGTCCCGGGTGGTTGAAGTACATTTCCTCCCTGTAGGATTCTTACTACAAACACGTGAAGGTTCATCAGAGTAAAAACTATTACGTGCTTGAACTAATTTTTTGGAAGGAATTACCCTACTGTAATAAACTCCGTGACTTCCGCAAAAAAAAGATCATTTACATGAAAAAAAAAACTGCTAGCTGACCGAATCACTACATTTTATCATGATCTCTTTTCCTATTTGTTAGAAATATATGGTGAATTAGTCAACAGTAAACTCTCACCCCAATCTTGTTTCATTCACGATTCATGAAATGCTCCATGAAATACATTCATCATTTCGAACTCCAGCGTTCCCATGGTTTTATTGCCTGTACAGGTAAAAAATGGAATAGTTAATTATTTAAATTAAATTCTGATGCAGTTATACCTGATATTTGCTTGTGGTAATTGAAAATATCAAGCAAATAATATCGTTTTTTAGCATTGACGAATAGTTCTTAAAAATTTTTTTTTAAATTGATTTAGCGTTGATTTTATTATGGGTTGAATGGACAAAATACCGAATTTTCATGTTGTTTTATTCGACAGTTAGTGCAACAGTTAGTTTAAGCTGACTTTACACCAGTTACCCATGGTTATTAAAATTATTGAAAATGTTTAATTCTTTATTTATGAAAATTTCGACACTGGTTTTTCGATTTTAAACAAGTGTAATCTTTTTTTTACAGATCATCGTGATTTGTTCAGCGCTCTGCGCTCTGGTGACATCATCGCCCTTGCCTCAGGTACGAAAAGCAAATCAAAAAATCACGAAAACATAAAACTTTCTTTCACAAATGTCTGAGGGATTTTAATGCCCAATAGTTTCCAGTTCATTTAAAGGGAAATCAGCTTACGCCGGCCAATAATAAAACTTGAAATTTTTCTTGTGTTTGTTGCAATAATTTCTTTCGAAAAAATTGAATAGATAAATTTTTTTTATCGAGGACAATTTTTTAATTTTTAAAATGTACTTGAATCGAAAAATTTGAATGGAGGACAATAATATTTTGCAAATATTTTAATAACATGTAGTTAAAATTATTCAACCTTCTCTGATCAGGATGAAAGTTTCGCCATCATCCCCTACAACTACGGTTACGAGGTACAGGATCCTGAGACGAACAACTTCCAGAACAAAGCTGAAATAAAGACAAGTGAAGGGGACGTGTACGGTTCATACTCTGTACTAATGCCTGATGGGTACATCTACACGACGACGTACAACGTCACCGGCGACAGCGGCTACGTCTCCAGGCTCGTCAAGACGCTCGCACAACAAGAAGTTCTTCCAGAACCTAGAACTGCTGCGTGATTCCAATACAAAACTATACCAAGAACTTAGAAGCAAAAGAAAACTCTAAGCCTATTCACCATGTCTTCATTTGGTTGACGTTTTGTTTATTTTTAAATTCTTGATGAAATTGAGATTTAAGCAGACTAATGAAATCATAGAAATTCTCACCTGTTGATGTGGTATATTAAATTCTTATAAACTGATTTTAAAATTCATAGAAATGCGGACATCTTCGAAATAAAAACCTCCGTTAATGCATTGCCCGGCTGAAATGCGAGCTAAGATGCAAGTAATTAGTACTCTTCTACGTATTTTTCAACGTAACAACAGCAAAATTTATTGATGTATTTGAAATAAAACGTATGCTAAAATGATATGTTTGACCGCAAATCACGCTATAGATTTGTTATGAATTTTTCTAAGTTACAAACGGCCAAGCCAAAGCCAATGTTCGGTCGCATAAGATTGGTTTAGTGAAATGCAGGGATAAAATCTGCGTCACCGATGATTTATCCACATTTTGACAAGCATCAGTTCATAATTTACATCTCCATAACAGTCCTTCCGTGAAGTAGAATTAAAATGCCATTTTTTTCTCATTCTGTCTTCTGCATAGTTGCTTGAAGTATTAAGTATTAGATAAAAATTAGGATTAATTAGGTAGTAAATAAAGCCGATGTGTTTCCCCGAACCTTCCAGCCATGAAACACAGAAGGTCCGATAAATCGAACGATCATTTCCTAGCTTTCTAGTACTTCTTTATATTAGTGCGATATTAGCTTAGGAACTATCAAGCATGCCAGTAATATTTTATATGAAATAATTTGTTCATTTGTAAATGTTTAATTTCGCAAATGAGTGAATTACGTGAGCTAGAAGCGAGAAATTTTATTTTCGGGAATTTATAGAAAATTACCAGTCTGCAAATCTGAAAATTATGAATTATTGATATAAATTGATTATTCTATAAACATCCATAATATCAAATTCTTTCATAATTTCTGTAAACAATCCTAATTTAATTCTTCCATATTAAATTCATTGATAAGCAAAATTTTCGAGCTGCTTTACGTGAGCCTCCATTTGCTAACCCGACCAAGATTTGTGGGTAAAAAACTAATTTTATAATTTAAGTATGCATTTAAATATGGCTCTAAAATATTCAATTATTTTTTTTTTCGATGTATTATGCACTGGTTCAATTGATTCTCTAATGATTATTCAAAATTAAAAATTTGTCCATGATGTTTTACTTCACAAGACCACGAATAAGACAACACTTGAGTTTTCTTAAAAGCCTAATGAATAATTTTCATTTTATACCAGCTTTTAACTACAGGTTTTTTAAATAAGATTTTTGCAAAGTTTCCCCAAATATCCCCTTCGTTTATGAACGCTTTTGTGCTGTCTTTTTCGTTTTTTTCTATGTTTTTCTGAGATATTTTTTTTTGTATTTGTTCGCTTGTTTTTATTGATTAAAATGAAAACCCTCTCTAAAAATTTTTATATTTTTCCAAATTTCTATTAAATTTAAGGCTTGATTTATCGAGTAAAATAACTTAGGAGATTAAGATACGAAAACATCAATTATTTAAGTGTTATATTCTTCGCGAATCGGTGATGAACAATTTTTTTAAAATCCACTTTCATTCGAATTTTTTAATAGAAATTTCTATATATTTATATGGCTCGTATGCAGTTTCAAACTTGCAGTGTTAAACACTGTGCAATTATTCTTGTACTAGACTTACCTTTTTAAAAATCCTTTTTTGTCCATTTTAGAATTTTTCAAAAATATCTTCATCAAATTTGTCATTACCGCTGATTCTCACCGACTTGCACAAACTCATGTAATCACACACAACAATTTTAATAAACTTTCTAAAACAAAAAAAAATCATACATTGTAATTGGGTAACTATTTACGAGAATTTCTCAATTGATTCCCTCTATGAAATTCGTTTTCTCCAACTGATAACAATTAAATAAATGTAATGTATTGTTGTTTAAAACCAAATTTAGATTGAGTACCCGATTGGGGTTGGCTTAAAAAATATGAATGTCAGTTACAGCGATGAAAATTTCAGTCTTGACTCGCTTCATAGGTTCATTAGTGATAGGAAAATTAACTATAAAAATGACAACATGAGGAACATAATAGATAATATGAAGGGAAATAAAGACAAACGTCGCCTCGGGCCACAGCAAGGTTTTATTGAGAAAAATGCCTTTTGATATTAAATTGTTTCTCGTTTATGCAATGACTTATGGCATTGAGTTTCAATTCGGCTTCCAAATCATCTATAAATGAACTCTCTCCAAAGTCTTTATATAATAAATAGAACAACTATGTTAACTTAAGATTACGTAAGGGACCATTTATCCCATGAGTTCATGAGTTATATCCAAGTCAAGAATTTATCCATATTTTATCCATTTTTAATTTTTGTATTTTTTTAATTCCATAAAATTTTTGCCGTGAAACCAACTTAATTACCTTTGATTTTATTCAAATATTCGGGCAAAATTAAAAAATAAACAGATCGTGAAAAACTTGAACAAAAGTAAAAGTGTGAATTATAATTGTACATAAAATTACGCTTCCTAAGCGTGTGTACCTTCTGGCCACTTAAACAAACTATAAATTATGTAACAATTAATGAGCGGGCACATACGGCCCGCGGGCCACAGTTTTCTCATCCCGTGTAAGTTTACTTCATAAATTTACTTTCATATTTACGTCAAAATTAATATGTGAGAGTCTATACCTTCTAATAATAATATTTGTTAGAACAATTTGATGATTATATAAATTTTAATTTGATGGAGAAAAAATGCATGAACGAAGACTATGGACAATTGAAACCAATATATACTTTAATACACATCACAAACATTACAATTTTAACTCCACTACGTATGTGGAGTGTCATGTGATCATTGTATCAACACCGGGACCACGGGGCAGCGAGCTTTGTATCAACACCGGGACCACGGGGCAGCGAGCTTTGTATCAACACCGGGACCATCGGGCAGCGAGCTTTGTATCAACACCGGGACCACCGGGCAGCAAGCCCGATGCGAAATACACCATGTATAACCTGAAGTGTCACTTCAAGATCGGGTTCTACTGCGTTCTGATTTTGTACATATTGGCCGATGCACCCAATTACCGGACCAAACTGAGTCAGGATGACCCACTCAAGCTCAAAAAGCGAAATTATTATTTATACAAAGTTTAATTTGTGTTCATGCTGTACGGTTGAGGAATACCTCGGGCCTCACGTAGAGTGATACGCGTGCCGTAGGATGTTGAAAGAAGTGCCATGATATTGAATGGAGTGAACGAAAAAAGTACTCGTAACCGAACGGTAATGATATATAGATGAACTTGGTTAGCCCTTTAAATTAGCCCGAATCTGCAATGTTGTAATTGGAATGTTGCCGTTGTATCAAATTAAAGAGGAATAACCAGCTTTCACACTTAATTTTTCGACGATTTTTAGAAAATCTTAAAATCCATCCCGCAGCTTCGTGGGTCTCTTGTAGGTCACAGTCAACGGCCACACCTCTCACTACGACAGCTAGTGCCACCTACTATATATAGACGTCTTGGACAAATTTACGGCCGGACCCGCGGCCGGTCTCGCGGCCGCCGGACTAAAAACATAGAAAAAACCTAGCCAATCAAACGACTTGCTGCTCTCAACTCGGTGCCCTCGACCAATGCGATCAGTCAGAAAAATTGAGAGTTTTAATAATTTTCAACAAATTATATGAATATTTATCTCACAATCGAGCACATTAATTGCGGCGCGTATGTGACGCAGACGTCGATTGAAACAATTGTAAGTGTGACAAAATTTTTTTTCATTTTAGTACGTTTCAGCGCCTTTTCACATTTATGGAAAAAATTCACTATTGTGCTCGTCATGTCCGTCCATCTGTCTGTCCGTCTGTCTGTCTGTCCGTCCGAGACTTCACGTTTTCGTCGACGAGAAAATGCGCTCTCTGTCACTCACTGCAGTGAGTACTGAGTTATATTTTTTTAATCTACGTCATTTCTAAGCGTGTATGAAGTGTAACCTTGTCTTGTTATGATTTTCAAGTACAATTACGATGTTGCGGTGTTTATGTGAGGCTCTCCCATCTGTACTAGTGAGGTTTTCACTTATTATTTTTTTTTTGTCCTCAGAACCTCGTTTACCGAGCCTCTCAATCAATATTTTCTTAATTCTGTTATTGTAAGGTTGAATTTATGTTTAAATCATCTCTTATATTATGTTTTCCACTCCAAAACATTTATCCTCTAGAGTTCGACCATGAATGCACTTATTAGAAATACTGAAGCAGTTATGATCTAGAGTTCTTCAGTGAAGGCAGTTTCTGTCATAAAAAAAACATAGCGCTGTCGGCGCTGAAGAGTATATATAGAGGCCTGATGTATATATAGAGGCAATGTATATATATAGAGGCCTGATGTATATATAGAGGCGATGTATATATAGAGGCCTGATGTATATATAGAGTCGATTCTTGTACTTTTCGTGACTTGTTCACAGAAGATCCAAAAGCATGTACCTACTTTGACAGGATTTTTTTCAAGGCTGACGATAGTTTGAAATAGCTACTATACTTCCACCGGGTTCGATATGGTGCTAGGCATTTCAAGTCTGAACATATATTTTTCCTTAGCTTTTTCGACTGATGAGTAGTTAGCAGATCGATTCTTTAGAGAGGTCATTGCTGAGTTCACATTGCGTGCTATTAATTGAGGAAGTTTTATTTGTTGAAAATAATTTGGAGTAGTTTGACCTGCCAAGAGCGGTGCAATATTGATGGCTTTGACATTAATCGCTCATTAATGATTGTGCCTCATGAGCGCGGCATGACAAGAAGATCGAGGCTATCATATATTATTTATATGATCAATTTAAACTTTGGTTCAAATTAAAAAGAAGTTGAATATTCGAGTTCTAGACCAACAATAAATTCGCTTATTAAACTACGAGTGAATATTAAAGTATGTTCAAGTTTTGATCACAAGTTCCAATTTGCGAAGTTTACCTCGAGCTGCATGCGCATGGATTGTGAACAAGTCAAAAATCAATATGAGATAAAATAATACAAAAGATTATCAAAAAATATAGCCGGAAATATTGTGGTTAATAAGTCAACAATGATAATGGAGAAATGAATTAGGATGGACCATTGGAAAACATAAAAATAACTTTAGAACCAACTTCAACAAATTTTTTAAACGGTTGATATGAATGCTATAATAGTTGCAGAGAATAATGTACAACATTTTTTAAGCATGATAAAACAGAGAAAATTGTGCCTATAAATATATATGTTGACATATATAATGTGACCAAGTCATTCGCGCCAAGGCCTGAGGAGTGGAGTGTGCATCCAAGAACATCACTTCTGGCCATATTGTACTGTCATTAATAATAAATTATCAGTGTAAATATTGTTAGCAAACCTTTTGTAAGCGTAGTTTTTAATTGTCTATTTCTTATGGGCTTCTATATGGTTTACTTGTTCATCAGACCTTTAGAGTGTAAAAGCTAATCAGCGACGTATCAAAAAGTTTCATGCTAACTCAGTTGTTCGTAGCCCGCGTCAAAACTGCCCACAATATTTCGGTGCGTTAATTTATGCCTTCTTATAACTTGTTTATAGTTTTGATGGTTATTTGTAATATTTGAATACTATAAGCATATATTGAAGTTTATAGGGTTAATATATTTATGTTTGTTCTTTCAGATACAATTTTCCATTCAATAAAAAAGAAATTTGTTGTCGGAACTGTGGTTATCCTAAAACCTGAACGCGGACTCACGGCAACCCAAACTCAAAAACGGAAAGCGTTTTACAATCAGTAATAGTAAAGTTTGCACAAATAATAATATTATCTCGTGCCAACTGTGTCCGATAAGGAGATACATGTAATCTGCGAAGTGTCATTTAAAACATCATGTATTGTAATTTCCGTTTCTCATCAAAATATCGCTGAAAGGCACTCATTTAATTTCGCAATAAAATACATGTATTTGACCTATAACTTCTATGACATGTCCAATTATATTGCGATTACACTACCTATAAATAAAGATATGTTTATTGCTTGAAATGCGTAATGACATATTTATCATTGACATAGCAAATGAATGACTATTTGTCTCTGACATTACACATTAATTAAGACATATGAGTCACTATATATGAGTAACACGTATCGTGATAACACATAGATCGTGAGTAACGATCTATCTCCACACGTGCCACGTCAGTGAGGATGAATCTATGAAATATTTTGTAAATGCTTTCTAGTCTAAACCCTCTACCGCCTGACATGAGTAACCAGAGCAATATTGTCACGCGCCTACTTCCCAAAAAGGATACGTTCTAGTGAGCACAAAATGA